GTAACTAACACAAAAAAGAAGGAGGGGAGATAAGAGAGAATAGATGTTTATAGGAAAGAAGGAGCAAACCACACCTGTGCACCCGCCAACCACCCACTCAGAGGCAAAAGAAACGCATAATTTTCATCGTGCTTAAAGTACTAGAATCTAGTAGTTTCGATTGTTGAGTACTGTTTATATGTTCCATTAAAGCACCACCTACAGACTGTACCAGTTTCGAGCTACAGACGCGACCAGTGATCTCCACCGAGCCAGAAGACCAAGGGCGACAACTGCAGATCAGGATCGCCTCATGATGCGCCAAAACCTGATGGATCTGCTCCTGACAGCCTCTGAGACCGCCAGGAACATCATCGGACGAAAGGGGCAAGCCGTACCAGAACCGTACGGGGGAGATAGCCGTCCACAGACCTCCCGTACAGATGGCCATGTCGCAGGCCAGTTCAGACCCCTCAGCGCCGCCGTGGCAGGCTTCTGTGGGTACAAGCTCCCGTGAACTGTAACACAGCAGTTCCTGGGGCATATCAACATCAGTCTTTCTACTCATCCGGCTCATTCACCAGACTTACACCGTTTTAAACCTCATTGAGCACGTTTTGGGACTCTGTAGAGGCAGCTCATCCAGCTGCAACTACGACCACGGACAGCTCCTCAACCTGCTGCAGCCATTGGCCAGGTGTGAGTACAGATCCCAGGTCGACAAATAAACACTCTCGTGAACTCTATGGGTCAACGGTGAAAAGGGGTTATTGAAACCAACGGAGGTTGCACACGGTACTGATTTTCTGTCTCAAGGTCAAAGTCACAGAAATAATATAGTTCATCATCATCACCCGGCGCCTTGCCGACTGGCGTGGGCGATCATGGACCTCCACTTCCATCTGTCTTTCGATGCAGCAATGGTGTCTGTTGTTCTTGCTGCTCCCAGCCATGTTGTCATCTTGTCCAGTATCTTTTCCCTCTGTCTGCCTCTTCCTCTCTTTCCATCAAACTTTCCTGTTGTTACAATGTTCTCTAATGCTTCTTTCCGCATTGTGTGTCCGAAAAAAAATTGCCTATCGTTATAATAAAGACGTGTAATATAGACGTGTTAAAACTAAATATACACATAACAAACCCCTGCCGAGTAGTGTGCTTTGTTCAGGCTTTTGTTATTCGCGTTTCTTTTGCCTTTGGGTGTAATTTCGGTGGAGGTAGAGGGCAAGACCAACTAGAAACTATAGAGGCACAATAAGAGATGAGGCAATCACCCAGGGCCGAAATTAGAGAAAGTGACCCGGGACAGACAAGCGTGGCGTCGACTGCTCTCCGCCTTATGTACCTGGCGGTATAGGGAGAGAGTAAGTAAAACGTCGTGGTGTGGATTGGAATCTGCGATGCTGCCAAGACTGCACTTGCGCCTATTCGTGGGAATCCAACAGCTCTTGGCAACATTGGACTAAGTTCTTGAGCCCAAGGTTGTACTTTTCTTTCAAAACCAAGCCAGAAGGACAAGTATTCGTGCATGACAAAGCACCTGCTCATAAAGCTGCCGTGACAAACCAATTTTTCAGAGCTAACTACATTCCTCCCCTGCACGCCTGCACCCAAGGCCAGCACATTTACCAAATCTCGATCCAGCTGAGCACTTCCGGGGCCTTGTAGATCGCGCAAATTCGTGCCAGACCACGCCAGTCCCAGACCTTCGCTCAGTTAGAACAAGCCTTAATTCAAAAGTGGAATAGCATCCCCCCAGAAGGCGACAATTCGACTCACCCAGTCCATGAGTGGGCGATGTGAAGCTGTGATCAACGCCAGAGGTCATCACGCTCATTTCAGAAGCTGTCATTTCGCATTTACACCTCTGACAACGGTAGGTTCAAAAAAGAAGATTAGAAACATTCTTTTCTTTGCATTCAACAGTGTTTTCCAAGGTGAATTGAATGCACTGTCTTGTCGGATATTTTCAGACCGATTTGGTGAGTATTTGCATCGATAGTCTAGTGATTAGGCTACCGGACAAGTAACAATGAGGTTGCAGGTTCGGAGGTTCCAGCCGCGGGCCAGACGTCGTGTCCTTGGGAAAGTCACTTGACACATATTTCCCTCACTTCACCAAGGTGGGAATGAGTAGACAGCGAAAGATCTTGTCAGTATGTTGGTTAGTGTTTAAGCACCTGTAAATGGCAGCTTGCACTCTATGCTTCCCAGGAAGTTGAGATTGTTTTAGACTGCTATCAGGTCTTCTGGAGTAATGGTATAGATTGTAGCGCGCATAGAGCTTGCTGTTGAGCGGGAATTTGGGCTATACAAATACTATCTATCTATCTATTATAATAATA